GATTCTTTAAAAAAAATATATATAAATGTTCGTCTCAAGGAAAGAAAAGTTATGTTTAGTCTTATTTAATTGGAAGTTTCTTCAAGTGGAGTAGATTCAACTTTCTTCAAATTATGAATTCCGGAAAGTTGGGTGGGGGTAGGGGAGAAGGGAGACCCCATTTGTCAATGAGATTTATACATTGAAATTAATATGGAAATCTTTCCTCAGTCATGATTTGTTATCTTGATATTAAAATATCATCAAGTAGTGTATATTAACGTTTGTTCAAATTAGCTTCATTACGTGGTATTTAATGGTTAAACTTTTCAATGCTAATCGTAAACTGCATGATTTTTGCAGCATAAGTGCTTTGGTGAAAGCTGTCGCCAATGGGCGCTTGTGTTACTATTTTTGTCCAATTGAAGGAAATAATAAATTTCCTAAATACCAAGAAATTATAAACTACCTATGATACCAACAATTGAGATTCTACCTTTATGTTAATTATTAATCAATGGACATATTTATGTTTATTACTTATTTGGGTACATCTGTTACATTATGACGAAAGTTCGAAAAAGCTATGTTAGCTTATATGTTACAGTCAATATCACAATGTCATTGAACTTGTTGGCATTTGAAAGAACTTTAGTGGAGTACGCATACCAAATATTAAGACTCTTTCCCGTATGGTTCAAAAGTAATGACAAAAGTATGAGAAAACTTTTTTAGAATATAGTTCACAGTTAAGGGCACAAGATCATTGAACTTGGTGTCAGTTGAATTTACTTAACTAGTGAAGTATGCAAACTAAATGTATCTTTCACGGTTAAAAAGTTATGGCAAAGGTTGAAGTTGACAACAGACAGACAAACAGCTGGACAAATAAACAGACAAACAGACGGTAACGGGTTCGTTCGTCCGATCTTCCTGTTCGCGGGAGTCCGTTCGCTCAGAGTCCGATCGCCCGAAATATTTTTCGCCCTATATGTGGTTCGCCAAATTGTACTTATATATACTATAACTTGTATATTTAGACTCATATGAAATAAAAAAAAAATAACATATATCATTTTTTCTATTTATTTCCTTTACGAACTTGAGATATTTTTTCCTCAAATTCTGATACGAGGAACAATATAATTTAGTTTTAATTAATTTTTGATTTGATTGACTAAGTATTTGCACTTTAATTAATTAGATGCTGAATATCATGGTTAATAAGGGCGACATATCCGTGTTATTTTTACGAATTGTGCTATGTTTAGAAAACAATTAAAGGACTGAGAGTTAATAAGTCCATTATATATGATTACGGAACTAAACAGCGGGTGTTGAAGGTTTAACCTTTGAGGAATCTCGAATTTTCTGAAGAAATTTGGAGAGAAATTCCTTAGATTTTATTCTACATCAAGTAGGGCGAACGGAAGTCTTAGGGCGAGCGGAAAATTGTGCGAACGGGAAATCGGGCGAACAATTTTTAGGGCGAACGAACATGGAACAATACAAAACAGTAATCATAAAAACAAAACATAAAACCTAAAATCATTGTACGAGATCGTTACTAACATAAGAGTTAGCTAAAATTATAAGCTGCTAGACTAAGATCAACTTGAGACCAACTTAAAAATTTGATACAATACAGGTTGTGCCCAAATAAATAGTCTGAGGACAATAAAACTCAATAACTTGTTCAAAATAAAATATTACACGTCGTATGTTATCTTAAAAAGTTGAGTCTTAAGATCCCGTTTAAAAGCTAAAAGTGACGTATGGAACCGAAGAGCGTCCGGTAAAACCTTTGCACAAAATTGCTGCTGCATGGTCAAATCGACGCTTTCCTTATGTCTCCGTGCGAACACGAGGTTTCACAAATTATTTTGATCTTAGTTATTAGAATTCGTAGTATCTTTTGTTCAATAAGATATACCAAATTAAGTTGATTTATTTAAGGGCCACAGCTAGAGACTTTTTGTAGAAGAATTTGAATAATTCTGCATCATATAAATGTTAAAAACTGGGCACGATAAGTACACACATGAAGGTTAAAACTGATTGATGGAAGATATATGTATCTTTCATATATGATCTCCACAAAGTACATAAATATTGTTAATCAGAAATTAACTCGATCATGCATAGAATTTTAATTTCAGAGTACTGGGGAAAATGTTCATTCAACTAGAATATTTTTGACGGAATATTTTTGCAATTAACCATAAGACAATGAAAAGATATATTTCATACATTATTTAAGAGAAAATGGAAACAGTAAGAATTTATTAGAAAGAAGCAAGATATAATATGGAAAGTAATATGTTATTTAAAAGTGTATACTTCTGTACTTCCAGAGGATTAAAATGCAACAAAAGGATCGTATAATTTAAATACCTATTTTATCCAGAAATTTCGATCGAGATTTGTCATTAAAAGATGCTAAAAGAATTAATAAGATTTTGAAGAAAGGCCTTTTGGGAATATAATAACTAATGTTATATGATTATAAATATAATATTTTTTTTAATTTCATCATTATGATTGAGTATCACTGATTCACAGAATCAAGTTTGTCACTTGGAAGAGTGTTGGATTTCACGAAAAATATTGTTTTGTCTCCGTACATATCAATGAACATATCTTGATAAACCCAAAAAAATCTTTTTTTTCGAAAATAATCGGATTAAATAAATTTTATACAACTAGCTCGCTTTAGATGAACAATGATAAATTTGTTTCTCTTGTTTAAGTGCAATTGAAATAATAAAGATACATGTAATTCATGTGAAATTCACATTGATTTGAAATTGATTTCTCGTATAAAGTCCATTTATTATGTACAGAGCTGTAATATATGGTAAAAACTATGTATGGAGGGATTCCATAGGTATTCTGATAAAATATAAACAATGATTCCCAATTAAAAAAAACATAATGGTACATGTCCTTCAATTTGACTCATAAGCTTAGTTTGCATCAAACAACACTGATGTGATAATTAAAAGAAAAATAGCAAAATAATAGGTTTGTAATATTATCTACATAATCTTTTAGTGACAGGATACGGGATGATACCTGGTTAGTAAATTTCATATCTGGCGAGGCGGAGCCGAGTCAGGTATGAAATTTACTAACCAGGTATCATCCTGTACCCTGTCACTAAAAGACTAAAAATTGCAAAATAATAGGTTAGTTATATTAGTAACATAGTCTTTTTGTGACAGGATACGGGATGATACCTGGTTAGGAAATTTCATATCTGGCGAGGCGGAGCCGAGTCAGGTATGAAATTTACTAACCAGGTATCATATGCATCCCGTACCCTGTCACTAAAAGACAATGTAACGAATTTACTTCACCGATGAAACAGTTACGTATTATCTGTGGTTTATTTATGTATTTCTCTGCTACATGCTTCATCACGCTTATATTGTGCCTATTATGACGTCACATTGTGTTTCTTATGTAATGTATCGACCGGGTATAGATTTACAACTGACCGGGTATAAGTAATCAACCCCTGTCACAAGACAGACTTTAACCAATCGTAAGTCAAGTTTTCTCGAAAAAATCAACAGAGGTGGGGTAATATTGGAATTCTATACTGACCTGACTTAATGCGTGCTTTGGATATTAAACAAACATACATGACTTTTGTACTTCATCCCTGATTTTCCTGCACAGCCATCATCTGTTTGAATACTGTATACAGGGTTATTTTCGCCCCGTGTTATTTTTGCCCTTTTGCACTTGAGAACATTTATGCCCCGTTTTAAATTCGCCCATTCATAAATCTGTTTAAGAAATTATACTGTATAATTTGATTTCACCCCGTTTTAAATTCGCCCAATCAGGAAGAGGGCGAAAGGGGCGAAAATAAAACGGGGGCGAAAATTTCCCTGTATACAGTAGTTGACTTCCCCTTTTTATTTCAACAACTCAATCAATAAGTTAATAATCAATATACAAGTCATGTTATAATCACAGGCAAAATAAATGAAATAGTTTCTGCATGCTTACAATTCCCTTAAAACATAATGTTCACAATTTATTTGTTGTGTTGTCGAATTTATTTCTTTAAAATAGTGAAGTGCATAGAACTATATACAGGATCTTTTTTTATATATACATAAAGAAATGTCTATGTAATTTATTATAACTCTTAACAGTTCTAGTATATATGTAAACATTAATTTTGAGTTTCACAACAAATCTTTTTTTTGAAAAAGCTTTTTGCGTGTCATCAAGAAAACAAAGAAATATTAAAAAATATTTTCTTTCTTTATAATTTACTTAGTATTCAGCTATATCCGGGGGGATGGTTTTGGTGTTATGAGTATGTGTAACTCTGCTTCATCACAACACGGATGTCTTTGCTAAAAAAAATCCAAACACTGTCTATCCTTTTTTTTTAAATTAGCTTTGAGCACTACTATAGTTTTCTAATAACTGAATTAGAAATTCAAATAATGATAACATGACACCAGCTAGATCTCAGGCTTCAATATATGAAGAAAAACGAACATTATTCAAAGTCAAAGTCCATTAAACAATACAAAATAGGAGCAGAGCAACAACGGACCTCTAAAACATCAGAGGTGGGAAAAGGTTCCATGGAGGAGTGAGTATCCACTGCTGACAGGTCACACCCGCCGCTTGCTCTTTGTCACGGTTTTAAGGAAAAATCCGTCCACAATTGAGTGTGCAAATAATGGCCTTACAATTAGTATGAAAAAGTCAGTCAGCATTTGACTAAATAATAAATTGTATTTTCTGAAAAGGTCATTGTATCGACCATAGAACTTACGACATGATGACTTTAAACGAGACTGCTGATATTTTTGTTTTATCAACTTGCTTGTCAATAAGTTACCTCGTTTTAGAAAATGTACATAAGTAGATCAGAATCTAGGGTATTGCAAGATATAAACCCCGTATGCAGGTGATGAATGTATAGGTAAGGGAATTTGATGATTGAAAAGTTGAGGTCATCACGTTTATCTTAAAGCTTGATTGTTCGATTTCAAATAGCTTCTTTTTCAAGTAAAATATTAAACAGATGTGTCAAAATCTGTTGCGATAATAGGCGGATTTGTTATTCTAAGTTGAATAAACATCAAATTCCTTATTCTTTCTTCCTGTGTTGAGAATACTGTAGATTCCTTCTCCTACCGCATGATAGAGATTTTCTTGGACATGGTCGTTACTTTCATCGCTGTCAGCATCTTCTGCCTTTTCATTAAGATGATTGTAATCATCATCAATTATATCAGAATTCGTCATTGGCTGTTTCTTGGTTTCTTGCATGTTTCTCTCCAATGGTATTTCAACATATGAATAAGCAAACGGTTGCTCATTTCTCTGTAAAACAAAAGTAGCTTAAATATTTTTCTGAACCATTTCATTCTATTTCTATAACAAATTAATGTAATAATAGATGGGATTTAAGACACCAAATCACAAAACATTTTTTCTGACTGTGCTTGTATTACCTCTAGAAAGAAACCTGACCATTTTAAAAATTAGTTCATATAATTTTATAGGTTAAGCAGCAACAAGAACGATATCAAAATGAAGTATCTGATTAGAAATTACTTCCCAAGAAATGGTTTTGAAGTGTTTAATGTGTTTTACCACAGTGAAATGCATCTATTGACGACCCAAAAGTTATTTCATTCAAACTATAAAACTCATATCATAAACACTGAATTACCTTTTCTTTAGTCAATAGATTGTTGGATATATATTGTCTAATGATATCTGACATAAAACATAAATGCTAGGTTTGTCAAACTTTAACAAATTGGAATTATATTGTTTTTTCTTACGAGTATCAAGTTTAAAAAGAATACAATGATAAAACAGGTACCGGACACATGGTTTTCATTACAATTTCCTTTTTTTTAAAATACAGTCGCACCCGTAGTACCGGTAGTTGGAATAAAACTGCTGGACGTCGATACTGATCGTTTGAATGACACCGCTTAGACTTAACTTCCGTTGCGAACTATGCACGCCCAAAAATACCCAAAGAACTATGAACTCTAACTCTTGATTCCCGCCTACATTTTGCACTCATTAAATTCAATTTTAATGGTAATTTAGCCATTAAATCTTTGTTTTATACAAAGATCAGGCCTATGGTAATTGATTAATCATTTTATTTCCAGCGCTAGATAGTAAATTATCATTAATTCCAGCTCTTGAAAAAAAGGGGGTAGGCGATATTTTGTGGTGAAATCGAACTTTCAAGCATCACCATATTTTGAAATAGTTTTAAATATCATAAAATGTATCTCATATAATTTCTTATGTTTTACATAAATATATAAAACATATATAAATAAATAAAATACAATTATTTAGTTGTATGTAGCTTTAAAATTTGTGAAAAATCAGCATTTTTTTTTCTGTCTATAAACATATATCCCCCCCCCCCCCCGTGAAACACAAAAAGCTTTGGTATGATTTTGTGAAATGAAAGTCTATATTACCTGTTTAAACGAATTTTTGTTTCACGGGGGGGGGGATGTTTTAAAAATATTTTCCTTTTTCCGTTGATTTCTATTTTGAAAAAGACATGTTTTACCAAAATTATAGAGTTATCTCTCTTTGGTATCCCAAATAAGAAACGTTTTATGAAAATTCATATGAATATCTATAAAAATTTCGAAAACCATTTGAATATGTTTACTTTTAAAAATTGACATAGAGGTAGGCGGGAGAACAATACTATCTTTCGTGGTTCTTGTTCAATAGCCCTGAGTCCCAAGACAACCATTGACTTTTTTCTATATACCATGATACAAAAAGGCAAAGGATGGTTGGATTAAAACCCTCATATATGGGGTATTTTTATGATAATAAACTATCATGCAGAAAAGCGGATCAAGCCGCTCGTAATGGGTATTTACACGGAGTTTGCAAGCAATTAAACATATGTTACAAGCAAGGTGAGAAATATTATATGATTCATTAGATTCTTTTTTCAAATGAATACAAACAATTTTGTTTAATCCAACGAGATGGTCAGTATTGCCTCTGACTTTCTTGACAACATCAGAAAAGGATATATATTAAGTAATAAACATCTGTCACAGTGGCTCAATGAATATGTAGTTATGAAAGGTTCACTCAAGAAAGTTGTTCACTTTTTAAGTGGTCTCTGATGCATAGCATAATAATACATGTAAATATAATTTACTACCCTTTATGAACATGACCTGGAAGTTTATAATCAAAAAATAGACCGAAGAGAAACTTCTTTGCAAACATTTCAATGATGTAGGTAATAAGATAAGCGATATAATTTAAAAAAAATGAAAACTAATTAAGACAAAAATCCTCTTATGTAGCCTGTCTGTGTAAACGTTCACTTAAAAGTGTTCATTTGTTGCCTCCCCTAGAATTTAGTTTTGATGTTCATTGACTCTTTATTTGAAACTTAATGGTGATTACGTTTCTGTCAAAGAGCAGAACAAATATCTTGCTAATCTACCATGTTTTTTAAAAAAATACTTTAACATAAAATTATGTTTGTTATTCAGTGAAGCAGATACTGAAATAAAATCTTGCATGATTACCTCACTTCCACAATGCACATTCGGGTTATTCTGAGGTGCTTCTGTGTTGGTTCCGTACGCTGCATTGTTAAAATCTGTCATCTCTATAGATTCTCTGAATGAAATTTAAAATTTAATAGCTAAACCTGTCAAGTGCATATTTTAAAAAATAGAGGCTTAAAAATGACTACGAGGCAATAAAATATTTCATACTTTGCATCATTTTTTGTTTTTCCATGTCGTACATGATGATAGATGATTGTGGCAATAAGAATTAATATGATGCAAATGAAAAGGCTTCCGAAAACAAGTCCAACTGTCCCGACGTCTTGCTTAATTACTGAAAATGTATTTACCATGTGTATAGAAATTTTTGGAAACATTATATACAGCCAAATTACTTTAATGAAGTTCAGGCAGGTATAGAGCTACCTTTTTAGAAAACATAACTTTTATTTAAGGTGCATGTTCTTTAATTTGATATAAAATATATAAAAAAAAAAAAAAACGTTGATATGATGCTGTTATATTGAATACCTTTCTTGTCGCTTATAATTGAATAATCACCGGAGGACGCTGAAAAAATTAAGATACATTAGAAAATTAAAACTGAAAAAAGCGCAATTTTAATAAGCATTTAGTGGTAATGTACGACATGACAGTCTCTGTTGACAGTTCTACAGATTTGCTACAAACACTTCTGCGTAGTTTATTATTTACAAATGTCTGTGTAAGTGACTTTTCTTCATCAATACTATACAATGCAAACACAGGATACAAAACACTACTTATTAACGTTTCATTCAACTTCAAAGAACAAGCTAAGGCATTCAAGCACAAAAATTGGTCCTTCTTTAACACCTTAAAACATGATAAAATTGTAATTTAAGCAGAACATTTAAATTTTAAACCTAGAATTCCATCAAACAATACAAAATAGGAGCGGAGCAAACATGGCCCTCCAAAACATCAGAAGTGGAATCAGGTGCTATGGAGGAGTGAGCATCCTCTGCCGACCGGTAACGCCCGCCGCGTGCACTTTGTCACGATCGGGAAATGAGGGAATATTCCGTTGTCAGTTCATTGTATGAATAATGGACTAACATGATAATGAATACTGTTCGTTATCTCCATATCCTTCATTCAGTATGAAAAAAACGTCAGTCAGCGATAGACTCATCGATAAATTGTATTTGCTGACAAGGTCATTTTATCGACCATAGAACTAACCGAAATGATAAATTTAAGGAAACTGTTGATATTCTTGTTTCATCAAATTGTTTGTCAATAATACCTCGTTTTAGAAACTGTTCATACGTAGAGATTACCCTTGCGTATCGAATCAATAGAGATACATAAACTCCGTATGCAAGTGATGAAGGCGCAATTGGTACCCATGGGAATTTCAATAGATTGTTGGTAGACCTGGTCTTAAAAAAACACAAAAAACAACAACATATTAAATGAAGATAAACCTACACAGCAAACATTCCGAGCTATTCAAAGGTGGATATCCACGCTTACAGGTACATGTATTATTCAGACAAACCGAGACTAATACCACAGTGCACTGCTCATTTCGCTGGCAAGTTTCATTCAGTGTCAAACTTCCTAATAAACAAAAGAAAACGCCCATTTTAATATGTCAGTAGGTATACATATGTTTCTTACTTGTGATAAAATAGATTTTGTTAAAATTTAGATAAAAATAGATTCATCTATGATTTTGCCAATGTGTGTCAAAGTACCAGTAGATCGAAAAAGGTACGTATGCAACTGATATTTATGTTTACGTTTCCTGAAATATTCTCTTTTTAATTTATTTTATAATTCTTAGTATATGTTTTATATTTTTCATTATGCATCTGCACGATCACACAAAGTTATTATTTTTACGTCATGTTTTACAATGAACCTATCGAGAGGAGCTTTGCAGGAGTAATCAAGGGTAGATGTGCTTGTGGAACACTAATACCCCCCAAATGACAGCTTTTAGCGAAGCTTGAAAGTTCCTAAATACAAGTCAATCTCCAGTTTCAAGGGATGAAAAATGTTGCACCAAAAGAAGAACTTGTTTTCAATGAATATACATGTATCTGTGAAATATGGAAACCTAAGCAATAACCAATAAAAAGTTGTGACCAAGGTTAAGGATGTTTAAATGTGGGTCAAACTCCAGGGTCATTGTCTAAGTTTCGAATTAAAACTACTCAGGGGAAGGCTTTGTCGTTATAAATTCATGTGAAATATTATAGCCCAAGCAATAACCGCTCAATTGTTTTGGCTATCGCAATTCTTTTTAAATCACATTTCAGGGTCAAAATCAAAAAGATAAAAACTGTTGGTAGTTATAGGAATGTCTTGCCACATGAAATATACCTTTGAAATATGAAGGCCCTGTACTAACCGTTCAAATGTTATGTTCAATGTTAAAGTTTTTAAAAGTTGGTCAATATCAAATGTCAAGGTCCAAAAGACGAAAATATTTACATCCATGGAACGATCTTGGCACAATGAATGCACATGTGAAGTATGGAAACCCTACTGTAGCACCAACTGTTAAAAGTTTTAAGTTAAAAGTTGGGTAAATGCTTGAGGTATTGGGTCAACTCCAAGTCAAAAGTCAAATATGTTGGTTCTCAAAGTAAGGCCTTATAACAAGAAATACACATTTGAAAAATAAGAGCCATAGCTCCAACCAATCAAACGTTACGGGCAATGTAAAAGTTTTTGCGGAAAAACAACGCAGCGCAGTTAAGGATACAGTAAAGAGGCGGGGCTTAATTTGTTCGGGAAATGTTTATTATGACGTAACACAAAATATAAGGTGCTCAAAATACCATAAAATGATATTATTTGCTATTTCAAACTGTTGGATAACTTATACTACATAAAAACCCTTATTACATGTAGTTTTGTCGTTTGTTAGATCCCACACAACAATATATAATCGATGCATCGATCGCAGTGCACTTGTCAGTGTGACGTCATCTCATAAAAATGACGCAGTTTGCACACAGTCTGAGGCTGATCAAGTCACATTTTATACAATGAAAAATGTTTTCTGTTCTGAAATAAAATATTATCTGCAGTTAAAGATAAGGCCGTTCACTTGAATGCGATGTCTAGTTTACTATTTTATTTATAAACTGTCCGTATATTCTCCAGACAAGGATGCTGTCGTATATTTTTCTGCATATTCATTGAAAAAGTAACAGACGGGTCATAATAAATCGATTTATTGCAAGGGCATACCCTAAATGTATCTTGCCAACTGTTTGCACATTAACTCAAAAAGAATTAAGGTATTTGAAAAGTGCTGACTAGCAAAATATTCAACCTGCCGTCCAACAAATTAAATTTTAGCAATTAAATAAGGGAATATACATAGGTTTGCCGCACTTTTCACAAACTACATATAGTGTTGAAAAAAAAATATATATATTAAACTAAGATTTTAAAACTTGGTTACATGTATGCCCTTGCAATATTGGAATTTAGATGACCTCTAAACTGCAAGTAAAATTGCTAAAATCATGTGACTTTGACATCACGTGACAAGTCTATTTATAAAATCTTAATATTTTCAACATGTACATTTGAATCAAATTATATTTTAAAAATTATATATTTTAAGAATTATATTCTAAAAAGAGTCGACCATCCTTATAAAGTACGTGTTTATTATCTTAAAAAACCGCCGATTTTTCTACAGTGGCTGCAACGGTATTGTTGACAAACCAATCGTGTAGAATCGTTCGTGTACCATACGTGATCGTTCGTGTAACGTGCGAGATCGTGCGTGTATCAGACTCAATGGTTTGCGGATTTAATCGTGCAAGATCGTGCTTTTAGAATCGTGTAAATTTCGTTCTGTAAGTTTTTATCGGAATGTCATTTGAAAAAATAAGCAAATAAGTATTTCTTGTCTTTTAATTTATTTATTGAAATGCAAATAAAATAAATGAAGCGCAGAACGAACTAATTATTGCTCGTAAACAAGCAATAAAGTAAGTCGTACAATATTTGTAATTGTAACCTTAACTGTGCTGCGAAACAGATAAACAGACAAACAGAGAGAAAGACGGATGGAGGGTAAAAACTATATACCCACAAATATTTGATTACGTGGTCATAACAACAACAAAAGCCGAAATCAATGTAAATATCTTCAAGCACCATAGATAAGCTGCGTGAGGACAACAATGAGTTGTATGTCAATATTATTATTTGAATGAACATATATCTTATGTCAACAATTATACGCTGCATATAGTGTTGCATTCTAGCAATTTGGAAGCACTGTATAAAATATATTAAATAATTTTGGATTTTTTTCCCTAATTTGTCATCTGATTAATTTATTCTCGCATGCCAACATTATTTTGTTGCATGTTATATAATCTTCTTGCACATTGATATTACTTAAAGAAAAATATATATGACTTGCAAACAGGTGCCAGAAATTTGTGATCTCATAGGGAGTCATTAAAATCGTTATCGTTTTGAAAATTACTACAACTCACTGTGCATGGTATTGCTTACCCTTCAAACATTTATTTCCAAAACCTATGTACTCAGATTTGCATGTACAGATGCCGATTTGTCCAATCGATGAACATATCTTAGATTCGTTTTTACAATCTTTTGTCGATGTACAAAACTTTTTTGAGATGTCTACTAGAATGAAAAAAAGACCTTCTGCACATAATGAAAAAGAAATTGAAAAAAAAAAACTGTTCTTGATGATAAAAACAATATCATTAACATAATAATTTGTTTTACAAATTCGTTTTGTAAATTATGGTATAGGACATGTAAAAAGATTCAAATGAACCTACCCGGAAAGCACTCCAAATTGTTAATTGGCGTATATCCAAGCTTACACTTGCATGTTTCATTCAGACAAATGGAACCGGGAGTCATATAACACTGCTCATTTCGCTTGCACTTATCTTTTAGTTTTAAATTTCCTGAAAAATAAAAGATTAAATCTTATGTATGCATGCGCATCTAAATCAAATATATTGATTTATTTTTAGGCAATATAAATCACATTCCTTTTAAATAAATCAATATTTTTGATGTTTTCTTTTGATTAAATAAATTTGTACACAGCATAAAACACTTAATATTCGGTTCCAAATCCAATATACCCAGGTTTACATCTACAAATTCCAATTTTCCCTGTTAAAATACATGTCTTGGATTCCTCCTGACACTTCTTTGTCGATGTACACAAATCTTTTGAGATTTCTACTTAAAAATTGGCAATCTTAGCTTTGCATGAGTAAAACAAATAATTTTGTTGTAGATTTTTAATATAAATTTCTTTAATATTAATTCAATGTACATGTATTTCAAAAAAAACTATTCACTAAAATCAAAGTATTGCACGAATTGTTGGAATTTATCTTTAAATTGTTGAACTTGACTTTTGATAGATGCTTTGCTCCTGAGAAAACATTACGTAATTTTAACTGTATTTCTATATTTCTATTTTACTCTGACACAATATTTCAGAATATGTAAGATTTCAATCTATAATAAATACTGTAATGATATTACTTTTAAAGCAGCAAAAGTCTTTTCGTTACACTTGCACACTTTTAAAAAATAAATTTCATTGAATTAATAATGTAGTTTTTGAAATATCTGTAATTTCTATTATGTTAAAACTCCTTTTTTACTGTACAGTTATCCGAGAAAATTGGATGGTCTTATCCGTACAGGTGTTTTTATTATGTAAGGCTTTATTTTGAAGATGTCAAAATTTATACAAATTGTGCTCCACAAAAAGTGTGTCTATGATAATCAACGTTAACTACGAGGGTTGATCAAAAAGTAATGTCACAAGACGTAAAACACTCAGATTAGAAATGATGGAAACTATGTTTATTACAAATTAAAGCCAAAAAATTCAATTCAATATGATGTATACTCTTTAAAATATCAAATTTTACACAACGTGTGATTATGGTAGTCGCTGCACCTAAATAACGTCATATGACAAATACGAACCGCCATACATTTAAAGGTTTTCCTTTCGTTTTACTAAAATATTTGAGATTCACAAACACGTTCATAAAGTTGACTTTCTTTAGGAATTCTTGGTACATCATACACTCACTATTTTCATAATTAATTCCTCTGTCAAAATTCTTTGAACAGTAGCATATTAAGATAAACTTCAGTTTTTCATGTCGCTCTAACAGTCTGTCTTTTTTGACAACGTCGGTCACCACTGAACATTTCAACTTGACCTGCCATCTTACGGTCTTCTTGTCCTCTGCTGATCAATCATTGACCCATTACCCTCCCAAAATTATTGAAGTCATCCAAAAAGTGGTTTCATAGTATCATTCTTTTATCTATGAGTCTGATTAAACAACGTATCTGTCTCCATATGACGATTTCCCAATTTTGAAGCAAAAATGCATTACAGTTCGTCGCGGCGTTTTCCCCCTCTTTAAATATTTCCTTTGTACAATGCATCAAAGTAACACAGCAATGTTTACGATCAAAATAATAGGGAAAGTCTTTTAATTTTCAACTAAAGACTAGAAAATGACGTACATTTTGGCTTTTGAAATATTTGGCGATTACGCGTTTTTTAAGATTCTTTAAAATATGTTCGTCTTTTTTTTATTTTAGGAAAAATACAGTTTAATGTTAAGGCCTAAAACGTAACGTTTAATTGTGACGCGGCGAAACCCCATATGTTTTAGGTATTGAAGATCTATAAAGTAAATTCAATTAAACATTATCAAATGAAAATTTCATTAAATATATACATTTGTGGTATTTTCCATTATATAAACATACAGAGAGTAAATATTTTCAATTCTGTATGAAGTTTGTCAGAGGTCATCACATGGCCGAATCACACGCCGCAATAATATCTACTGGAATTCTGTCACATATTTTTTTATGTTTTCTTTATTCATTTTAATCTTAAAAACAGGCAAGACAAATAAAATTTTAAATTTTAGTACTTTTATTGTTTTTTTATGTTACTTTGATTCGTATAGAATAATTAAATGATCTTTAAAATTTCTATATTACAGAGAAAAAACGGCTACACATTCAATAGGTAAATTGAACAGATACTTGTATTTAAAAAAGAAGGAAAAAACATACCACAGTCCCTCAGTCAGTTGTCAAAAATTACCTGTCTATTTATAACTTACAAACACAGTTCAGCATGCTCGATTGATACCAATTAAAGGTGTGAACGGAGGTGAACCGTGAACTGAAGTCTGTTAACGAACCTTAAATATCTGTATTTTACCGAAATATAAGGTGAAAAAAAAAAAAAAAAAATCCCCAATCCCCCAATTGGGGATATATATATATATATATATATATATATATATATATATATATATATATATATATATATATATATATATATATATATATATATATATATATATATATATATATATATATATATATTTCTCTCGAAAAGTTTTTATTTAATAGATAAATAACGAGAAACACGTATAATTCTGAACGAATAAATAATAAAGAAATAAATTTGAATACACCTACAGTCAGGATGGTTGGTCTAAGGACAGATTAAAAAGTCTACTACAACTAGAACTGTAAATGAAATGTAAATGATTACTTTAATTATTCTTGAGAAAGTAAATCCAAGCACTGATTATTATGAATGAATTATGAGCATTGGGGATTTAGATCGTTTGCCAAAGTTGTACTACTGGGTGCATACTGAGTCTATATACACGTATTTATCATGTTTATCAGTGGTTGTAATACGACACGTAGACTCAGGTCTATCATCTTAATTCAAGAATTCAATGCATATACTGTTTTTCTATTAAAGATGAAAGTAAACAGAAGTATTGTAGAGAAAAAAACTTTTTTTTCAAATTAACTATCGATGATTTCAGTCGCTCTTCAAAATAGCAGTTTCAAACTCTATTAGAACTAACTTATTTATCATTTATAAAACAATTATATAGTGAAAGAGACTGGTTTCAGTAATAATACGTAATTTGGGTACAATTCAATAATTATAAAAGAAAACAAGAGGCCAACGGGCGTTATAGGTCACCCGAGTATCAACATTCCAGCGATTGTATTTGGTTCGTGTTTTAATCCAAAAGCCATGAAATTCACAAATTTTGAAGGAGGCACCATTGCTTATCAAAGGGCAGATTTCAAAGCATTAATTTATTTTTAGTCAAAGTACCCCCCTGGTACCCCTGACCCAGCGGCTCTGAAATTATCTATTTTGAAAAAGGCCCTTTATTCATTATAAGGCCAGCATTTTTTTTTATGTTTAGTTATCACATGAGAATAAAAAAGTCCCAAAGGATAAGGAAATAAAAAAAATTGATAAATCAATTATTAACATGTGTACATTCTTTTTTTATGCTATTCTAATAGGCTCCTTACCACTGGACACATACATGTAATGCTTACAAATAGGAAAGTAGAACATTTAATTGCTTATTTCATCATCTGCCAGTTTGGGCCAGTTATATAAATTTTGTGATGTTGGTCAAAATATATTTTGAAAATCAATTCTTTAAAAGTCTTTCAAAATATCTTCATTTTTTAAATATGTGTTAGCTGAATGTGTAGACATTGTTCTAAAATTTACTTGATGCCTAAAATTATAATAATTCCTATCATAAAACAGAGTATTGGGGAGTAGGGAGAACATTCTTTTCAATTAAGTGTAAAATAATTATTCTGGCTGATACAAATGATACTACATGCCTGTATATATTTGTATATTCTTGCCTTTTAATAGTTGATTTTTTTTTATTTCTTCAGGTTATTGTTTATTTCTTCCACAAATGGACTTAACTTCTCCCATAGTTTCATTCATTACATCTGATGCATAAGCAACCCTTTTCCGAAGAATGATGCTAAGACTGTAAGCTATAGCAGAGACCTAAACAATGTCGCTGGCAATGGTTTAAAACCTGGGGAGGAAAATAATTTACAGACAACTACTTTTAAAACGAATACATAATTATCTCACCAGCATGTCATTGTGCAACAAAGTCGTCAGCATTTCATTTGTCCTTTGAACCGGTGAAACGTTTTGAATGGCACTCGTATCGATGAATTTTACACTAAACCAAGCTATTTACCCGCCGTTTCATCTTAAAACCGGAAGTGTGAGTTCGTAAATTTGAAATCACGATCCCGACTCAAATTTGACATCGGAAAGAAAAAAATTGTTTTTTTTCTGAAAATTCAAAACCTTGAGCAGATGGTTTGTAAAACTTAAATGTATAAAAGATTATTAACATATTAACCAGGAGCAAAGGATAAGATGTTCAAAGAATTCATGCATTTCACAATAATTATGTAATCATTAGAGCCCCACCCTAAAACAGAAACCCCTGACCCTTGGGCCATAAAATTCACATTTTGGTAGAGGCACTCCTGCTCATCATAACTATGTACTAAGTTAGTTTATTTTTAATACGCAGGAGCAGAGAAGAAGATTTTCAAAGAATTCATGTATTTTCACTATATAATCAATAGAGCCCCGCCCTAACACCAGAACTCCTGACCCTGGGCCATAAAATTCACAATTTTGGTAGAGGCACTCTTGCTCATCATAACTATGCACTTAATTAGTTGGTTTATTTAATACCCAGGAGCAGAGAAGAAGATTTTCAAAGAAACAATGC